AGACAACATGAACAAAGAGCTAGACGAGAAATAAGCACAGAGGACGCCAGAAGCAAAAAGAAGGAGCAAAGAACCCATGGTTTTTCAGGGTTGGCAGTGTTGACACTTTGGACCAGATCTGCCTTTGTTTTGAAGCCTGTCCTGTGTATTGTAGGCTGTTTAGCAGCATCTCTGCCCTTAGCCTACTGGATGCTGCAGCAACCCCTTAGCCACGACAGTAAAAAGACTCCCTAGACATTAAGACCAACTATGTAAGTGTGGAGCCCACTGTAAGATGAAAATGTGAGACCCCTTGTTCAAAAAGCAGGGGGAAAGTATCATTAAAGAAACTAAAACACAGCTCTGGCTGGTGTAGCACAGAGAATTGAGTGATGGCCTGAGAACCAAAGGGTTGCTGGTCTGATTCCCAGTCAGGTCACATGCCTGGGCCTCGGGCCAGGTCCCCAGGTGGGGGCGTGTGAGAAGCAACCGATGGATGTTTCTCTCCCTCTCTTTCACCCTCCTTTCTCCTCTCTCTGAAAATAAATAAATAAAATCTTTAAAAAAAAAGAAACTAAAATATAAAGATTTCATTTTCTCAGTGGTCTATTCTCTTCCTCTTCCCACCCCCTACCCCACCCACCTTGCTCTCGTTCTTACTCTCACTCTCCCTGTTTTCTATTTGCTGCTTAATGTCATATTCCCTGGGAAATGGGGGTGCTAGCAGGACAAACCCTCCTAGGTGACTGAGGACCCCACTCTGTGACTTGGTGTGCACAGGTGCACTGAGCCCAGAAGCTGCCAGTTTCCTCCTCTGACCAGCCATTGGACCTGTGCGTTGTGCCCCAGCCGAGGGCATGGAAGTCAAGCCAGGCACCTACCCTTCCCACAGCTGCTGCTCTAACCCATAGCAGATAGGCCACCCCCAAAGGCATTGCAAAGATGATGGGTGAAAAGCTCCTATAGAGGCTTGTCTGATGCTCCATGGCACTGCCACCTGGGGTCCGATGGCCAAAGCCATGCCCCGCGCTGAGACACAACAGAGCAAAACACCTGACCCCAGTCTCCCGGTGCCGACAGCCAGGCCCTGTGAGGGCACAGAGGGCAGCAATGGTTGTCAGGTGGCAGTGCGGGGAGAGGCCTGTCAGGGCCAGGGGCACCGAGTTGTGAGGGCTCTGGAGCCAAAACTGCATCCCAGAAAGTCAGGGAGGGGGTGAGCTGAGGCTCCAAGCCCCTGCGCTGTGCCCCTTTGTCCCATCAGGCTTCACTTACAAAAGAGAAATTCAAAGGCAAATTTATCAAGCATTTCAGGATTGACTAAGAGCATTAAACCCCAAGAACGCCCATGAAGCTAGCCCTGCCACGTGTGGCCAAATCTCCCCTAGGGGCCAAAATTACTCTCAGTTGAGAACCACTGAACCCAACCTGGGGTTAGGTGGGGACTTCCTGAAGGAGTGAACCCTCGGCTGATCCCGGAGGGTTACAGGGATGGGGGTGGGGTGGAGATTATTAGAAGGGATAGAAATAATCAAGAAGCTTCCTGCAGCTCATGAAATGTTAAAGCAAGTTTGGGGGGAAGTTGTGGAATTTGGTTTGACCTTTAAGCTTTGCTCAGCTGATCTTCCTGCCTGAAATGCTCTCTGGCGTTTTGTTGTCAAAATCCTACTTATACTTCAAGGGCTCTGAGCCCCCACAGAACTTTGCTGTTGCTCGTATTATTATTAACATTTATTTCTATTCATTATTGTGCCAGTTGTTTACATATATTATCTTTCCTTCCAATTTTTACTCTATTTTCCTTTTTAGAGCTGAAGACACTGAGGTTTAGAGCAGCAACTTGCCCAAGGTCATACCTAGGAAGTGGCAGAGGCAGATTTCAAAACTACCGGAGCCTGACTCCAAGCCACACGCAGATCAAGTGCCTCTGGGCCAGTACAGAAAATGTTTGGAGTCAGACAGAGCTGCTTTTGAATCTCAACTCTGTATGAGCCACAACAGACTTTCTGCACCGCAAGCTCTCTGAGCATCAGTTGAGAAAACCAGAAGTAGAAATAATGATCCTGTCTCACAGGACTGTTACAAAGAGTAAATGAGATGCTCTGTGGAGCAACTCAGCGCAGTGCTTACTATAAAGCCTGTGCCACTCGACCTAGCAATAGAAACATATCTGTTTCTCCCTCTATATAACCAACTCCTTTAGAGCAGAAATTGAAACTTGTTCATCCCAGCAGTGCTGGATACCTCCTGCAGTGCCCAGCACATAGTGGGTGCTCAGTGAATGTTTGCTGTGCTGACTCAGCACCCTGATTGCTCTCCACCCCCAGGCCTGGAAGCAGGGTCTTAGTCTAGCTACCACAGCATTAAAGGATACTATCCCTTAGCATGAAGCCCAGAGGTCACCTTCATGCCTAAGGTGCATGTCGTGGACAGCATTTCTGAGCAGATGCAGGCAGGTAAAGCAGGGGCAGGGTCCACCCTGGTCCTGCTCTGCAACCCAGAACTAGGGTGGGAGGAGAGGAGACTTATTACACAGGGTAACACCAAGTGGGTAGCAGTACCTGACTCAGATTGGACTAGTGCCTTTGTTGACACCCTTTCAGCTTTTCCATCACAGACTCATGGCATCGGGAGCAGAGACGGGGGTCCCTTATTGTGTCTTATTCCTAGGTCTTGCATGTGCTCCTGGGCTACACACACCTCGTGCTAATCTTGTCATTACACAAACACAGCACTGTAGAGAAAACAGTGGAGTCCAAATTCACATGACTTGGGTAAATAGATGGTGACCCACCTTCAGGGGGTCATTTTTCTTCTCTGAGCCTCAGTTTCTTCATCCATGAAATGTGAGTACTAATGCCTGCCTTGTCTTCTTTGCAGGACTATTTTGAGGATCAAACAGAAGGAGAAAGATCTTTGCACACCATAAAACTCTGAGCAAACATCGCAGGTCTTTATGCGGCAGGTATCTCCGTAGACAGGAAAGACTTTGGTCTCCCTCTCACGCACATGCAACCCCAAGACTGCTCTGTGCTGAGACTGTTCAGGCCATTTCTAGGAGCTCCCCCTCTGTTTAAGTGAGTAGAAGGCTTGGAAGATGGGAAAGAGCCAGAAGGGAGACACTTAGGATTACACAATCTGTGGTTCAGGTCCAAGGTTCCATTTCTTAACTGTTTGTGGGCCCCTGGGCCAACCCTTATCTCCTTGGAGCCTCCATTTCCCCGCCACTAAAGAGGGGATGATACTGTCTACCTCACAGGTTTGTGAGGAGAAAAAGGGAGGCGGTATAGCAAGGGCATCTCATTAACACTTCTTTGAATATTAACCTGAAAACAGGTTTCAAGAAATTTTAGTAAAAGACATTGCTTTTCTTTCTTCTAAACACCACAGCCTTGCTTATATCCTTTATTCAATAAACATTTATGGTCCACCTGCTATGTGCAGGGCCCACTGCCAGCCTCACTGTTATGGGAGTAGGAGAAGGAAGAGGACTAGCTTATTGCTCTGGAGAGAAGGCCCTCTTTGCTGGGTGTAGTATTTATTAGTTTAATATCCTACTAGTTCACTAGTTTTTAATTTAATCTGTTACAAACGACTGGGAACACCCTATTTCTAAAAATGGCCCAGCAGAAGGATGTAGATTATTGAATCAAGATGAGGGAAATTTCCTCTGCCCTGAAGAGTTTCCCTGGCAAAGATCTGATGGGGAAATGAAAGCGGAGAGCTGGAAGGGATTTCCAGAAAGGAAGCTGAACGATGGGGTTGATGGGATTTGAGAAATTCCGATATCCATTTGTTACCGCCTCACCGCTCTCTGCAAAAGGCTTCCCACACGGTAGACACTTGGTGGTGTTTGTTGGTGGACTTGCTCCAGAAGCTGTGCGTTTAGAAGGGAGGGCAGGTGGACGGAGGCAGGAGCCCCCGAGCTGCGTGCTGGGTTTGAGAAAGCACTTGTGTCACCAAATCCTTCTTGTGCCGGCCCCCCAGGGGTGTTTTTCTGTGTTATCTAATTTAATTCTTCCAATAACCCTATGGGGTATGAATTCCATCATTATCACCATTTACATATGGCAATCATATAAAGACTCCAAGAAATTAAGTGACTTGCCCAAAGCCACCCCCTGCTCCACACACATACCCCTCCCAGAAAGCAGGGAGTCTATTTGACTCCAAAGCTAGGATTTTCCTAGTGCACTATGCTATATCTCTTCAGAAAGTCCTTTCTCCTCCCTGAATCTGCTTCCTCATCCCAATGATGAAGGAAGGGGCAAAGTGAGATGCCCCTCGGGTCCCTTTCAGATTTGTTTCTATCTACATAGGTGCTGTATATTGCCAACAGTTGACAAGCTGGGGAGCCTCTAGGCCAAATCCAATCAACCAATTGTTTTTATAGAGTTTTATTGAAATACACCCACGGGCTTTCATTTTTGTATTGCCTATAACAGCAGAGTTATGTACTTGTGAAAAAGACTGTATGGCACATAAAGCCTAGACTATGTTGCCATTTGGCACTTTGTAGAAAAAGTTTGCCCGCCCCTGGAATATACGGGCCTGTAGGCTTTCATAGTGATAAGCTGTGCATGCAGAATGAAAAAGAATCCGGGGGGTCACACATCAGCAATAACAGTTGGGAGGGAGGAAGAACGTGGCTTCCATCCACTCTTTATATTTTACACTTTGGAATTATTCAGTTTACTCTCTACTAAGTTACAACTTACAACAACATGTACAAATCCTAAATGTGTTGCCTGATGAGGTACCCACCATCCCAGTCAAGATGTAGGACTTCCCCAGCACATCAAAAAGCCCTCTCAGGACCCATCCCTATGACTATCCAGAGGGAAGGTTGATTTTAACTTCTATCGTGTGGGTTAATTTTTTCCTGCTTGTTAATTTCATGTAAATGAAATCGCACAGTATATACCTTTCTGTGTCTGGGAAAGATATTTGACAACTTCATTGCTGCCAACTTGGAAAATTGAGAAGTACAACTAAGGAAACAAAAATCAACCAGAAATAATCCATTAGGCATTTATTCAACAAGAATTTTATTGAGCAACTGCTATGTTTCAGGCTTCTCTCTAGGCATTGCAGAGGAAGACATGAAATGGTTCCCGCTTGTGGAGCTTACTGTTTGTGGTGTATTTTTTTTTAATGTGAAAAGTCCCATGTGCAGAGCTACACAGAGGTCTAGCCCGAGCTTCTTGGACCATTGGCCCAAAGGCCTAGAAATGCACATGCTGGCAGTTTAGGACTATTGAGGAATTTTGAGTCATAGAAAATTTAGGGAAGTGAAATTTATTAGGATGATCACTTAGTAAGTTATGTCATGTCTAATCACTGGGGTGTACACCCGAAACTAATATGATAATGTGTGTCAATTGTAATTTTAAAAAATAAAAAGATAAGTTTTAAAGAAAAAGCCAGGGAACTTAAATACTCATCCAGAACAACAGGCCATTTTTCAAATGCAGGATTAGAGACCCAGAGGAAGTGCTCACAGAAACCTTTGGGAAGGTGGAGTCATGCCCCCTCACCCCCCACCCCCCACCACATTATATCCAGAGCTAGAACTTTAGGCTACTAATGCTATCATCTAGAATGATCTCCAGGCTGGCACTGCTCTCTAACAATAAGGCCCCCAATCTCCTTCAGACCAGGATAGGGCAGCATTTACATTTAACTCTAGAGATGATTTCATTTTGAGGCCTTCTAGAGCCTGTCCGGAATCAATGAGCAAGTCTCGGCGCCTGGAGTAGCCGTGGATGGAGGTGACAGGCTCTCCCTGCTGTAAGCAAAGCAGGGTTATCATGGAAAGTAGGAGAAAGACTGTGGGCACAAGAGCAAAAAAAAGAATGTCACTTATCCTGCAAAGTTGCAAGAGAGTCTCCGGGAACCACATTTGCCAGTCTGTGAAAATTCCAAGGTGGTGCTTGGATAGCCTTCATCGAGTGATAAGCCAGCTGATTTTAAATTATCTCACATCAGGGACTGCATCTCCCATAAAAAAATCTTGGGATTTGAACTGCAGATTCATTGTTTGAGTAGGAGAAACTAATATGGTCTCTTTAAATTCAGTGACTCAAAAAAAAAAAAGGCTGGGCATCAAAGAGCCCAAATCTATCAGCTGCCTCACTTCCTGTTGTGTTTTCACGATGTGCTATGTGTGTCTTCTTACTAAACTTTTGAGCCTGTCACACTCCAGGAGCCTGCAGCTACTAACTCATTTAACCTTCACAGAAATACAGATGAATGTTACCATTTCCCAGCTAAGGAAACTGAGGGTGAGAAAGACTGTGTAAAATGCCCACTTCGCTGCAGAGCGGTTAGGCAGATCTGAGGCCCAAGCTTAGGTCTGTTTGATTCCACATCTACCCTCTCTTCTCTGCTCTGAACCTTCATAGACTCCCCCCTTTCAACTTCCCATCGGCCATAGCAGTGAAAGCTGGAGATCTCTCTCATCCTAAAGCCCTGTTCAGGCAATCCTGAGCCCCAGTCTCAGCCTTTCTATTCACTTGCTCCAAGCCACCCCCTTAAAATGTTTTATTTTCCCATCTTTAAAATAGGCCTGCTATATCATCACCACCTTATCTTATATGCAGCATAAACAGAGAGTATTTTCACTGTGCTCTTGTCTCCTCTGCTTGAGGTAAGTTTAACCAAAGGGCTTTATGAGTCAGTTCATTTAGTTAGCATTTCTGACTCACACCCTGAAGCACTGTCTGCTGGGGTTCTTACACTTTTCTTTTTAAATTTCCATGTGAAGGTGCAGGTATTGGGTCTGTTCACAGATCTACAGTGGCGGTTACCTGGTGAGCACTCGGATTGCACTAGGAGGAGTATACAAGGTAGATCCAGGTGGGGGGGTTACAGGAAGTTGCTGGATATAAACAGATCACCTGCAAGACTACCTGGATATTCATAGGAAGTTTCCCTAAACTTTGTTAAACTTCCTGTATGTTCACATAATTTGCTTGGGATGGGGGGAGACGGGTTAGCTGCCACCTGAATGTTGAGAGAAGGAAGCCTGAGAGTCAGACTGGGCAACAGCAGATGGAACTACAATCAAAGCTCTGTTGTTAAAAAGGAAGTGGCTTTCTAATGGGTTTTCCCAGCTAAACACAGAAGCTGATCGTCATTACACTTGACTTCTTCTATCATGACAGCAAGTGAGAGACAGAAAAAGAGATTGCTCTCCGGGACATTGCATCTCAACACTTCATTTTCCTGGTTGAGGGGAGACGGGTAGGCGGAGAGTGTTTTCCCGGGGGGCTGATTTGTGAGGGGCAGGGGCCTGCCATATGTCACAACAAACTAGAAGACAATAAGGTGAAATGAGGAAACCTCATCTCCATGAACTTATTACCCTTTTCTTAGGGAGAGACTGGATAGTGCAAACGTTCCCCAGGACTCCATGCACACAACCACCTTCCTTCCTTTCGGCTCCTAGCACCTGAGGACCAGGCATTTGTAGCAGGTTCTGTGTTGAGAGGCTGCCTCCCTCCTTAGCAGCCCGACTGCATGGGGCACACAAGGAGGACCAGCCCTTGTACACCTAGATCTGACTCTGAATCAGGCAGATTGAGAGCTGTTGACCCTTCCTCCTCCTCTCTTCCTGGGAAGTTGGGAACTAATCCCAACTTCCTCCCACTTATCTGTTAAAGGTGGGAAAGGTAGGAGAATTTGCTTAGAAGCACCTTTGCAAATTCCCTGTGGTTTCTGAATTTTTGTCCCCAGTCTCCCAGACCCTCCAACCCCAGCGCTGGATCTGCCTGATTTTGAGAATCCTAAACCTCCAGGGGGTTAGATTTTACCACTGGAAATTCGCTTCCTACCTCCCCAGACTGCAAAGTGTGAACGCTATTATTAAACTAAAGGGTTTCACAGATGGTCTCATTCAATGCATACAATCCCCCTTCTCCTGCACTATAGGTATCAATATTTTACAGGTGAAACTGAGGCTTAGGGGGGGGAGGGGTGTCCTCGGCTGCAGGAGCTATATGGCTTTGTGACCCGTGGATAAAAATTAAAAAAAAAAAAAAAAAAGGCCCGTTTCCCTCTTTCTCCTGCAGGTCAGGATGGGGTGCCCTCGGGCCCCTTTCCTGCCCTCTCCACGCCTCAGGGAGACGCAGGTTGAAGCTCCAATAGCGCCGCAAGGCTCCCAGCCTCCTTCCTGGCCCCTGCCGGGGTGGAAAAACGCTCCTTTCCCTCAGCGGCTTCGTGGGTGCCGCCTCCCGCCGCTGCCGCTGGGACCTCGCGTCTGCCGAGTGCGGTCCCAGGCTCCGGGGGCCGCTTGGGTCCTGGGGCTGCGAATAAACCAAAAGTCAGTGGGTCGGGGGTGGGACACGCCGCTGCGGATGTTCCTCCAGGTGCACACAGGCCAAGCCTCGCTTTCACTGCTAGAAAGGAGGTCCCGAAATCGTAGTTTTGCCGGGAAAGCGGAGGCGCTTCGGTATTTCGGGTTTGAACTGGAGAGCATGGCCCAGGAGTCCAGCTACCCCGCGGCTCGGCTCGGCTCGGCTCGCTGCCGGGGCGGCCCAGGCGCCGGCGGAGCTCCCCTTCGGCTCCTCACCCCCGGGCCAGGAATCAGCCTGCGCCTCCTTCTCGCTCGCCTGCGCCCGGACGCGACATTTCTGCCAATCCAAACCGCCAGAGCGGGCTGGCAGGGCTGGGGGTCTGCAGAGTGGTAACAGCCCGAGTGGAACTAAACGGGGTCTCTGCAGCCCGCACTCGCCCCGCCTAACGCCCCCTCTTCCGCCAGGTTTCGGCGTCCCTTCCCAGGCGGTCGGCAGTGCGCTCCCCGGGCTCCCCCAGCCCGCCACCCGCGTGGGCCCGGACGCCGCCTCGCAGGGCCCCTGCTCTCCGCTCCTCCTCCGTCGCCGTGTTCCAAGAACACCCCAAGGTCCTCCAGCTCTCACCTGAGCCCCGAAGCGCCGTTTCACCTTCTCTCCAGACCGGAGCCGGACCTGCGGCCGGTGGAAAAGCCCCGGGGCTTCCACACTAGGCTGTAAGCTACTTGCTCAGTAAGTCCAAAGGTCAGCTGAAGTTTGGCTGATGCACAGAAGCACTACAAGAAGGCCTGCAGCCCCTGGCGTGAGCACAATGGGCCCTGGCAAGCCCCGCTCCGGCCCGGGTCTCCCGCTCGCCACGTCTGTCCCTCAGACTCTCCCTCTCTCGATTTTCCCCCCTCCCCGCGATCATTTGCATCTTGCCGAAAGCCAGGCCCTCCCCGCTGATTTGCATATCTTATATGGCCTAATGGTGCCGATCATGGCCAGTTAGAAGTTTTCTGACTTCTCGGAGGAGACTCCGGGACCCCAGGGAGTAACAGGTGTCTGGAGGCTGAAGGGTGGGGGGCTTCCTGGACTTGGGGTCCGCTTGTGAAACTCCCCACCACCCTCTTCTCTCGCACCCACACGCCCTCTTCTTTTTCCGTCCTTGGAAAATGGTGTCCAAGCTCACGTCGCTCCAGCAAGAACTTCTGAGCGCCCTGCTGAGCTCCGGGGTCACCAAGGAGGTGTTGGTCCAGGCCTTGGAAGAGTTGCTGCCATCCCCGAGTTTCGGGGTGAAGCTGGAGACGCTGCCCTTGTCCCCCGGGAGCGGGGTCGAAGCCGACACCAAACCGGTCTTCCATACTCTCACGAACGGCCACGCCAAGGGCCGCTTGTCCGGGGACGAGGGCTCGGAAGACGGGGACGACTATGACACACCTCCCATCCTCAAGGAGCTGCAAGCGCTCAACACCGAGGAGGCGGTGGAGCAGCGGGCAGAGGTGGACCGGATGCTCAGGTAGGTGCCGACCGAGGTGGGGAGCGTGCGCCGGACCCCTCGAGCCCCGGGCCTTGTGCCTGAGCGACACTGCGCCCGACCACTCTCGCCGCGCCTGTTTCCCACTGTAGACGTCCCCCGCGGGGGCGCCCCCCTTCTTTTCCCGACACCTGGACCTCTCCCAATCCCTCAACCGGGCGGCCCGGGGCCCTGAGGCTTCATCTCCCCCTGCCCGGGATGGCGTCCGGGGCCGAGGGGCCCTCCCGGCAGAGCTGGAGCTTGGCCTGGGAGAACCCGATCTGTGCAGCTCTTTGCCTGGAGGTTTGCCCACGCGGCTGCAGTTGCGAGTGGGTGCAGTGAAACAGCGGAGGGTTTCTGCTGCTCGGGTTGCCCAAGTCCCAGGTCAGGCATTTCTCCCGTCCGGGAAAACGCGGGCGGTCCTACGGCCAGCCGTCCTGCTGTGCGTTGCAGAGGGATAGGCGACACCTGGGCCGGGATCTGGGGCTCGAGTTCTCAGGTGGGCACTCGCATCTGCAGCGCCCGTGCAAGGCCCCAGAATTATCCGGAATCTCCCAAACAGGTTCAGATTTGCAAAGGAAAATGTTTGCTTGTAGTAGGGTCAGGGTGGACCCGCAAGGGGCAAAAGAAACCACATCCCTAAGCAAGCGAGGGGCAACTGCGGCTCAAACCCCAGTTTGCAGCGATCGGTCGCAACCTGGGAAAGGAGGGTGTTTCCGGATTTGGCTGCTGAGACCCCGGCGTACCCGGGGAATTTGGACCGCTGGCCGGCGGTCCAGCTCCCGGTTCAGGATCGTTTGCTGGGCCTACGAGACCGTCTTAGGGCTTTGACAGCTGGTTACTAATTATTAAAGAAGCCGAAGGTTCCCTTATACTGCACGCTGCTCCCGACCACTTTGCTTTAGGACCGAGCCCCTCGCGTGGCCTCGGATACTTCAGTGCCGCGGCTTCGAGGCAGGGCCAGGACCAAAGTCACGTCCCTAACTCGGGCAGCCTCAGTTGCACGCTCGCAGCAGCGATTTGGAATGGTATATGACCTTGCATTTGAATTTGAGATCTGGGGACCCGGCGGCTTACTCTGTAGCAAAGACAATCAGGGGGGACTTCTAAATTTTTCTCCCAAAAGTACTTGGCTACAATTCGTGGGTCTGAGGTTCTCTCCTCGTTGTTCCCCAGCGTCGTGGCGGTCTTTGCCGCGCCGGGGTTCGGGTGCAGGAAGGTGAGCGGGATCGGAAGGAGCAGAAGGGGCTGCTGGGGCGCCGGGTGGCCCGCGGGTTGGCCGGGGCCTGGTGGACTCACCGAGCTCCCGCCACCTGCCACTGGGGACCCCGGGGCCGAGGCCTATCCACCTGGCCCCAGGCGCCCACTCTCTAGCTGGGCTTTTGGAAGATCTGGGAAACCCGGGCGACCGCCCTCCGCACCCAGCCCCGCGCCGGGCTGGACGCAGCACCGATGTAACACAAACTGCAGCACGTGGATTAGGGTGTTATTAATTTATTCCTATAAATCATCAACAGAAAGATACACAAAGAATCGTGATTAGGTTGAAAAGAAAGGCGGGTTATTCATTGGCGAAGTTGTAAACGCGGCTTGGAGGGGAAAGGAAATCAAAACGCAGACGCGGAGTCGGACGCCGCTCCAGGCGCACACGCAGGTGTTTCGGGGCGCTGTGGCCCAGCCCCCGGCTCCCTGCCCGGGCGGCTGACACTTGCGGGCCCCGCGGGTGGACAGCCGGTCCCGATCTCAGAGCTCAGCCTTCCGCCCTCCGAGAAGCCCCAGCTCCCGCCGCGCAGAAAGGAAAGGGGGCCCAAGACCCTCGCCGGGGTGGAGACACAGGACAGGCCCCAAGGTTTCTCTCCCCTTCCCAACCTGGTGCCGCCTTCCCTCCCCCACCCTCGGGAGCGATTGGACTTTATTAAAGTAATTTTTCAAGAAATTGCTAACGGTTCCCCGGTCGCTGCGCAGTCGGCTCGGGAGCGCCAGGCACAAGCACTCCAGTTTTGCCCACCCAGTTCCCCCAAGGCACAAAGAAAGGAACTGGGAAAGTCACTGTTTGGAGCGCCCGAACGCACCTCCTAGAGGAGAAAGGAAGGTCGAGGGCTGCGTGCTGCCGGCCCCCGGCTCCAGGTCAAGCTGGCCTCGCTCGCCGGCCTCCAGGCTGGCGCGCCGGCGGTTCGGGGCGTCGACTCGTGGCTAAGAAGCCAGAGTCGAGGCTGTGCGCGGGTTCGGGGCGCTTCTGCCCGCGGGCTGCGCAGGGATCGGCGGAAAAGGAGAGCGCCGGGCGGACGGGCCTGCCGCGCCCAGGTCGGGCGTCTGACACCTGTGCTCGGAGCACAATGGCCGTGCGCGCTGCTCCTGGCCCGAGTGCTCCGCGGGGTTGGGAAGACTCAACACGAGGTGGATTTTCAAACCTCAAAAAGTAACCAGTGCTCCGGGCTCTTCCTGGTGAATACGCGTAAATTCTGGGGCAGAGAGCCGTAAAGGTGTAACTACGCCATCTTATCCGCAAGTCTAGCCCTTGAATGCGGACTTCAACTTTTGCTAAAGTTAATGAAGTTTTCCTGCCCCCCCTTTTTTAAACCTTCCCAGTTGTTGAGCTAATTTGCTTTTTGCACAGAACCTTAGCTCTTAGAACATTCCACTATGTCGCTAGTTTTCTTAGAACACAGGTTAAAAAAAATAAGCAAAACAAAAATAGCCAAAGATTCTGTTAAAGCAGTATTAACTTTTAAAATGCAAGTACTTTTTCTAACTTTAGACTTTCCTGTCTGTTGAAAGTGTTTTTCTCCCCTAAAAATATCTGTGGAAATATTCGCCAGAAATAAGTTTTTAAATGATGTCCGATGTTTACATGCGTATGTCCAAAATGTGACATTATTTTTCTCTTACTAGGTGGCTTCTCCATATTTGAAACTACCACGTTTTCTCTCTCTCCCTGTTTTGTTGGTCTCGTTACTTCATTTTCTTTTATTACTTGGTAGTGCCTTTTTAAACTCTTGAGAAGTTCGTTAACTTTTAATTAATTAATCTTAAAGGCTTGCATTTCTCAAAATGTTTCTTTCACAAATTTAATATCAAAGAACTGCCGAAATGATCAGCTATTCAAATGCTTACAACATACCTGTTTAATTATAGGTATTAATTAATTACAGGGTTTTAATTCATTAAGCAAAATTTTTTCTATTTGACATATTATAGGCACCATTTAGAAAGAAATTGGTTATTTAATTTGCAACACTACATCTGTTTTGACCTCTGTTTTCTACTGTTTTTTATTGTTTTATCTGGAACTAATTTTTCCCTTCATTTTTTTTCACATTCTCTTGGGCTATTATATATATCAATGTACAGTAAAGAGATGTTGCATTTTTTAAGTTAAATATGTAGCTGCATTAAACAAATAGTATATGTGGATGTATTGCTTCTTAAACACTTTTTTCTATACTGTACATTATTTAATTTTTTATCTTAAACGATACCTCTCAGTTTCGAGTCACCTATTCAACAAGCAAGAAAAGATATCAACAAATTAGAAAACATTTAAAATAAATAAAATTCAAAGGCATCAACACATTGTTCTAAAGGAGTTTTTCATACCTGTGTTTATGAGAAATGAAAAATTCTCATTCTCAGCAAGTTCCTATCTCCAGCTTAAAATTTAGAATAAAACTTGCCTTCCAGATACTCTTACCTTATCAAGGCAGAAATGTAACAGGAAAACAAGGCATTGGGGATCATTAATATCCATTTAGAAATTGAAAGTATTTGTCCCCATTAGGTTTTATTTTGGAGGCGTGGCTGTAGTGAATTTTTTTTTTTTTTTTTTTTTTTTTTACTTTACCTGCTTGCCTCAATAGAATGATTTTTCATTCCCAGGGAAGAATGTTATTGCACTTCTCAAAATTTTTCTAAAATTCTGAAAACCATTTAACATTTGGCTGAGAATCCTCCTTGCATCTCAGGAGGTGGATGTATTTGTTTTACTCCTATTTAATAAGATAAGAAACTGAGACACCATTCAGAAGGAAAATGATGTGAGTGAGGTCAACGTAAATCTAGAAACTGATGCTACCTCTCATCCGTGTAGGATCACCCGGCACAGCCCCAAGCCAATGCTATCTCCACTCTCCAACAGGACTCCTGCCTTCTAAGTCTCTCTCATTTTAGGAAGATGAAGGAAAGCAATATCAAATAAAACAGAATCTTTCCTTTCCACTTCGTGCTGACAGTGCTTTCCCAATCCCAAAGCCAGGAAGTCATCTTCATCTTT